GGGGGGGGGGGGGGGGGGGTCCCTGGGACCGGAATAGCAACCTCGTCCCTCCTGCTCACGCCTCGTCTTTATGGGGAACCAAGTACTCCCGCATTCTGTTTGCTCTGCTCTGCAGTCCTGGAGGGCAGGTCAGATGGCACAGTCCCTGTCTTTTGTGAATGAGGACATCGAGGCTCAGAAAGGCTCGTGGCTAGCCCCGGGGACCCACAGCAGGTCAGGGGTGAGTCCCAGGAGGGAAGGCAGCTCGTCAGACTCCTAGCACAGCTCTATTGTCCCATGCCTTGCTCTTCTCGGTCCTTGCTGAGGTTTTGTCACTGCTCTGAAGATTCGAACCCACCGTAGAGGCCATGCCGGACTCCATGCGGTTGGAGTGAGACCCTTGCTAATCCCCCTTTTAGGGCCGGGTGACCGAATGGACCCATTGCTGCCGCGGCCACTCACTGGTGCCCCTGTGCCAACCTTTGCACTGGCACGTGGCAGAGATTTGAGATACTGGGTGGTCAGTGCCTCAGTTTCCCCTTTATAGATTTGCTCCCTCCTTTCTCTTGGCAGCTGGGGTGAGGCTAAATTAATGTTTATTAGAGGGCTTCTGCATGCTGGGCTGACAGGTGCCTTGTGATGGTAAAGTATGAGCCCGACTTAAGTGCAAAATGCTATTGTTTTACACCTGAGGGTGATGTTTCATAATGGCAATGCGCTGTCAGAGCCGTAAGCAGAAATGAATGGTTTGTCTCATCCTCCCCAGCTCCCCCAGACTCAGAAGACAGCAGCTCGCATCCCGGGGTGGGAGACATATGAGGCTACTCACCTTTTGCTATAAATCTGCCGTTTCATCAGCCCTGACAGGTGGCTGGACAATCCCAGTCAATTCATCAATTAAATCTACCCATTTGTAGTTGCTGAGAACCCCGTGTCCTTGGCTCTGGAAGGATCCAAGGCTCAGAGTGCGAGAAGGCTGCTCTCATTGTGGCCGATGCTCCTGGTGGCAGTGGAGGAGGCCCGAGGAAGGGGCCGTCTCGCAGGTGGAGGTGTGGGACGGATTTCCAGCCGGGAGAGAGGGAGACGAGGGCTGTGTGTTTGGGGTGGGGTTGAGATGGAAGAAAGGATGGGGTGAGGCGTACCCAGCCCGGAGAGCCAGATTTTGTGGTTTGTCTCCACCGTGGTTCACGGAATAGAGCGGTTCTATCCCCGGGTCCAGAAGTAAGGTGGCGTTGGGATTCAGTCCCAGCTCTGGCACTGACACTGTATTACTTTGGAGAAGTTAGTTAACTTTGAGTCTTAATCTCCTTATCTGTGAGGTCAAAATAACAATAATACCACTCCGCAGGGAGTCGTGAAGATTAAGTGAGATAATATCTACAACGGGTCTAGCCTCTTATAATTGCTGGTGGTATTATTATTACCGAGGGCTACATCACAAATATTTTCTTACCCTGTTCCTTGAATCAGATAATTCTGAACTCCTCTCTGTCAGGAATCTTTCTCCGCTTCCCCCGTCCATTTGTCAGGCACAATGTAGAGTCTTGCTGTACCTTGATGGATTTTGGCTCCCCAAATCCATAAAGCTGCCATGGAGAGGATGTCTGATTAACTAGGTTGTCTCAGGAAGCCTCCAGAACCCCAGAGTGATGGACCTGCTCTCACAGGCTAAGCATTGTCTGAGATGTCGAGTCCGACAGGGGGCTCCTCCCAGGAGGAGTGTGTGCGTGTGTCTATGTGTGCAGGTGCACAGGTGTATTAATTCTGTACTTGGCCATCTAAATTTGGATGTTGGTGGCCAGGTGGTGTTTGAGGAAGGCGAGGGCCCCCTCTTTGTTACTGCAATGGTTACAATCATCTAATTGTTCTGAACAATTGTTCCAGACTCTGGGCTCAGATTGCCTGTGTCTGCATCCCCGGGCCCTCGCTCACTGGTTGTGTGGTCTTGGGCAAGTTGCTTTGATCTCTTGGTGCCTTGGTTTCCTCATCTGTAAACTGGGAAGGACAGTACCCCCTACTGCATAGGGTTGTTGCAAGGTTAAAAGAGGTCGTATAAGTAACGTGCTTACAACAGTGCCGGGCGTGTGGGAGACGCTTTACAAATATTTGCTGAATGAATCGCAGTAAGGAAGTCTCTCACAAGGGGAGCAGGCCACGGAAAGGGAGCCTGGCAAATCTGGGTCCAAAGAGAAGCCTTCCTAGGCCTCAGTTGGCTGACCCGTGAGGTGCCGGGGTTTCGTGATTTTGGAGAATACTCTAGCCGCTGTGAGTGAGGCACGTTTCTGAGCTTCTGAAAGTCTTAGGAGACGGGCCGCTACCCTCAGAGCAGGCTTGCTCAGTCATCAACACCGGGACTGTCACCAGGGGAGGCAGTGTGAAGAGGAGGATGGAAAGGTGATACCATTCCCTCCCCAAGAGCCTTTCAGCCGCTAAGGGTGCTGTGCCTGGTGGGGACAGCAAATGCATTTGCCGCTAAGAGGATGCCCCTGACACCCCAGCAAGGAGCCCCTGGACGTGTTTTCTGGCACTGATGCTAATGGCTTCATCGTGGCTTTTTGTGAGATGATGGGAATTGCTCTGACCAATGAGGCTTAATGGCCTCCCTCAACAAGTTGCCCAGTGCGTTCTCCCTGGAGGCTCCGCTCAGAGTTAAGCCAAGAATATTAATACAGTCCGGATGCAGGCCCTCCTCCTTCTCATAAAGTTGTGGAAATTGAGGTCAAGTTGGGTCCCCTGCAACGTTCTTTAAATAAGCCGCGGAGTGGTTTGTTTGCTGCGTGATCTCCCTGGTGGAGAGGGAGGGGCTTCCAGCCGGAGACCTGGGACTGGGCTGTCTTCTTCTTCTGGGTCGTCGCCACTTGTTCAGAGGTGGCCCTTCATAGGGAGGCAAGGCTCCTCAGCAGGGAGGGAGGCCCCGATTCCACCATTCGGGGCTGCGTCCCATCAGGCAGGAAAGACTGAGGCCGGGCGCCGGTGTGAGAGCTGCGGACAGCTGTCCTCCCGGTCAGGTGGCCCTGCTCTAGTCAGGCAGCTGCACTCCTGAGCACGTCCTCCCGGTGGCCGAGTGCTGTGATGGCGACCGGTCACAGATGCCTGAGGTCTCTGCAGCCCTGTCCACCCACCCCCTACCCCCACCCCATTTTATAAGCGAAGGAGCAGAAGGACATAGAAGGGGAGCGTCCCCACAGTCAGTCAGTGTCAGGGCTGGGTGGGGTTGGGGCGCCTGGGTGGCTCAGTCGGTTGGCTGTCCGACTTCGGTTCAGGTCATGATCTCATGGTCTGTGGGTTCGAGCCCCGCGTCGGGCTCTGTGCCGACAGCTCGGAGCCTGGAGCCTGCTTCGGATTCTGTGTCTCCCTCGCTCTCTGCCCCTCCCCCACTCGTACTCTGTCTCTCTCAGCAATAAATAAGCATTACGAAATTTTTTAAAAATTGAAAAGGGAATGATAAAAAAAACGATACCAGCTCCTCTCAGGGTTGTGCAGATGAATTGAGGTAATGGGTGTGAACCTGCCTGCCCTATAGTAGGTGCTCAATAAATACTTACCGAAGCCATTTCAGTGCTTGTCCTAACGTGTGGTTGCCAATAGTGGATCGTGGCTTCAGACCCTTCAGCCTAGCGGAGTGGTGGCCAATCCCCTCTCCGTGGGCTTGGCTTGGTATGGGAGGTGAGATGTTTCCACTCAGGCCGTTCATGTGCTGGGCTGGAAGCTTCTGTGGGGCAGGAACTGTCTCACACATGCCTGTGCCAGTGCCCGGGGCATCGTCAGCTCAGTAAGTGCTTCCTGAGTGACTGGTGCTTAAATTATGAATGGGTGTGGGGCACATGGCTCTGTGGTGTGGGGGGTTATTATCAGAACACGGCTAACCCAGCCTCTCCCCTCGGCTCCCCTGCAGCTCGCCCTGAAGATGTCGGCACCAGCCTCTACTTTGTAAATGACTCCTTGCAGCAGGTGACCTTTTCCAGCTCCGTGGGGGTGGTGGTGCCCTGCCCGGCTGCGGGCTCCCCCAGTGCGGCCCTTCGATGGTACCTGGCCACGGGGGACGACATCTACGACGTGCCACACATCCGGCACGTTCACGCCAACGGGACGCTGCAGCTGTACCCCTTCTCTCCCTCCGCCTTCAACAGCTTTATCCACGACAATGACTACTTCTGCACCGCGGAGAATGCGGCCGGCAAGATCCGGAGCCCCAACATCCGCGTCAAAGCAGGTAAGGTGTCAGCCACCTGCTGCCTCCTGGAGAGCTCCGTCTTAAGGGTGGCGACGGGGAACGGGCAGAGCCCCTTGTTCTGAGGGTCCACGTGGGGGGCGTGGAAGAAGTCTGTCTCTCAAGGAAAGTCTTCTGGTCCTTTGGAGTCTTGGCTCCTTACGGGGTGGGCGTCCTTAGGCGAAAGGGACACCGTTCTGAGCCTTCCTTCCCACGCTCCTCTGCAAAGCTGATGCCAACACCTACCCCATTCATCACTACCTGTGATGGTAACTGAGATGGTGCTCGTTTATTTATTTTTTTAACGTTTAGTTTTATTTTGAGAGAGAGAGCACAGGTGTGCACGCGAGAGGGGGTAGGAGGGGGGAAAGAGAGAGAGAGAGAGAGAGAGAGAGAGCACGCCCGCGAGGGAGGGAGAGAGAATCCCAAGCAGGTTCTCTGCACCATCAGCACAGAGCCCAACTCGGGGCTTGAACTCACCAAATGTGAGACCATGACCTGAGCTGAAATCAAGAGGGTGCTTAACCAACTGAGCCACGCAGGTGGCTGGTGCTCATCTATTTAAAAAAAACAATTTTTTTTAAATAATCTTTGTTTATATTTGAGAGGGAGGGAGAGTGTAAGCAGGGAAAGGGCAGAGAGAGAGCGAGACACAGAATCCGAAGCAGGTTCCAGGCTCTGAGCTGTTAGCACAGAGCCCGATGTGGGCCCTGAACTCATGAACCGTGAGATCATGACCTGAGCCGAAGTCGGACGCTTAAGCTTAACCGACTGAGCCACCCAGGCGCCCGAAGGCAGCTGGTGCTTGTTTAAATTAAGTGTTCATTTTAGTACTTGAGTCATGGAAAATATCCAGTGAGTTGCTCGCTTCAAAAAACAAAACCCCCCCAAACCCACCCCTTTTATTTAAATATATAAAGAAAAGTACACATCTTACGAGTAGGTAGCTTGATGAATTGTCACAAACTTTAACATCCAGATAAAGATACACAACATCAGCACCTCAGAAGCCCCCCTTGTCCTCTTTTCTGTCACCACCCCCCTAGGGGAAACCATTGTCCTGACTTCTAGCAATACAGGTGTTTGTCTCTTTTTGTGCTGAGTCCTGCATTGTGTATTCTCTTGAATCCTTTGCTCACTCTTGTTTGTGGGATTTACCTCTACTGCTGTGTGTAGTGGAATGGCGTTGTTCATTCGCATGGCTGTGTAGTGTTCTATCGTTCAACCACCACATTTATTTATCCAATCCGCTGTTGATGGATCTTTGAGTATATCTTATGAGAACAGGCATTTAGATAAAACTCGTGATGGAAAATTGTAGCAGTGAAGGATTTTGGTCTTTGGAAGGGTCAATGGAGGCAAGGAAGTGAGGTTTCTCAGCTGTCCTCTTTATTTTGTTTTTAATGTTTATTTTTGAGACAGAGTGTAAGTAGGGGAGGGGCAGAGAGAAGAGGGAGACACAGAATCGGAAGCAGGCTCGAGGCTCTGAACTGTCAGCACAGAGCCGGACTTGGGGCTCGAACCTACAAACTGTGAGATCATGACTGAGCCAAAGTCGGATGCTTAACTGACTGAGCCACCCATGCGCTCCTCGGCTGTTCTCTTTAAAGAAAATAAAAAATTTCATTTCTGGGAGCGAGGTCGGGAGGTGAGGGAAGGGCTTAGGTGGAGCTACTCTTAATTAGAATGTCACGGTGCCCTGGTATGTCATAATCCGTTGTAAGGTGTACCTCAAGTAGCAATAAACCACTGACGTTTTGGGACTGATTTTCTTAGAAGAGCTTTCTGGGTGGGAGAGGACAGATAATGTTTTAGCCAACCCGCTCTGATGGCACCAAGCCTTGGGTGTGCCATCTTTCCTGGTGATTGTGTTGGGCAAAGAAGGGTAGGTTCTGGGGAAGGCCTCCCAACCTGCCGGCCAAGATCCTGCAAGATCTCTGACTTCCAGGATCCTTCTGCCTCAGGAGTGCCTCTCACAGGTCCAAGGTTCCAAGGAGCTGGCAACAGGTGTCCTCAGGGGGTGAGGTGGGGAGGGCACTCTTGATTAAAGAGCTGGTCTTCATCCAGTTGGTTTGGTTGGGAGTAGATGTGAGCTCTTCAAACCCAGGACCGTCTTCAGGGTATCGCTCCCGGGGCTCCCTGTGGAACTTCTTCTCAGGAGTAGACCCTTTGCACTGTCCCCCTAACACTATCACGTGCCGGGCCGGAAGCCCTGAGGCCAAGGTTTGGTGCAGTGCCGGCCTCCACAGCCTAGGGGACTGGTTTAAGAGAAAGTAATGTCATATTTCCAGTTGTGTGCCTGTCACTGGGTTAGGATGCAGTTGTCATCACAATCCTGTAAAGTCCTTTTTTTTTTTTTTTTTAATACAAATGAGGGACTAAGACAAGGAGAGGTTAAGTGGCTTGCCCAAGGGCACATAGCCAGCTAGTCAGAGGTACAAGCTATAATGACAAACAGTATTTTTGCAGTGCTTTCCTGGGCCAGGCCTTCTCCACGCTGCTGTTATCATTGTTGTGATTTCCTTTTACGAATGAGGAAACCGAGGCTCCAGAAGGTTAAGTACCTCTTGGGCAGAGTCACACAGCGGCTCAGAGGAGGAGGCAGGCCTGCTTGCTCCCGAGCCCGGCCTCTGCTGGCCCCCTGGGAGTCTTCAGGGCCGTGTGCACCCAAAGCCCAGCTCTGTCCTCTTCCACTCTGCTTCCTTCCCATGTCAGCTCTCCGTCAGCCTCCTGGGTGCTTCTCTCACAGCCCTGGGCAGTGCCCTGCCCACACCCTTCTCCACCTCTCCTCCACCTCAGCTCTCTCTCTTCTTTGGCACAGTCACAACAGGGAGGTGGGGAGAGAATAAAGGCCTGGGGAGGCCGGGCAGGGTTGGTCTGACTAGAGACACAGCCAATTAAGCGGCTCTTGATGAAGCCAGAGGGGCTGCAGGTGCACAGCCAGAGGGGCTGCGGGGCCCTGAGCGTCACCCTGGCAACCGTGGCAGGGAGAGCAGGAGGGCACGCTGCCCAGGTGCCTGCTGAAGGACAAGGTCGGTAGACAGCGGGGATCTGGCTGCACCAACTCCGCTTGGCAGAGAAGGGTGGAAGGATGGAACGATCCCTGGAAGAGGCCAAGCAGAGGAGGACGAGGGAGAGGCAGGGCCCCTTGGCCCCACCCCTGAGGCTCAGCCAGCCCACCCATGGGACCCGACATGTAGCGTGGCTGCAGGTGACAGCGGCCTAGAACCCAGCCGTGGGACTGAGGCAGGAGGTCCCCACTGCACACTGTGGGGAAGGAACGGAGAGCTCTGGAGGCAGGGGCAAGCCTGGGGGTCAGGCTGTAGGCAGTGTCAGGAGGTAGGAGAGAGCAGGAAGGATTCTTTGTTGCGGGGAATCTTAGAGACCGCCCATTTTCAGACCATCACAATTTCAGATGTTCTCCTCCATTGTCCTCATAAACCACCAGGCCCTTCCGGAAAGTTTGGTGTGTGAGCTGCATTTTCCCAGGCTGCCTGTCACGTTGAAGTGGCACAAAAGTCTGTTGTTACATCCCGTGTCGCAGTTTTTATTTTTGGCAGGTTATGGTCGCCGTGCCTAAAACCATTGGCACCCGGGGCCCAGGAAGCATGTAGGAAATCAAGTGTGGTTTGCTTAGAGGAATTCTATCGCATTTCCTCGTTGCCTCCGTATCCCCTTGTTGAATGTGATCACAACGCAGCACTTAGCTGCTGCCCTCAGGCCCTCCCCATCGAATGGTTTATTAATCCTCCCTGAAATTGGACAGGTTAGAAGCTGGGCTTACGGTCTTGCGGAGGAAGGCTGGGTATTTCTGAGGGGGAGTAGGTTCCCCCATAGGGCAGAGAGGACATGACTCAGGCAGGAGGAAGATCATGGCAGGAACCTTGGGGCTGGTTAAACGGGAGGTGGGGGAGGAAGTGATGGGGGGTGGGGCCCTGGGGGGGGGCGCTGAGGGGGCTGAGCGGGCTCTCCATTCCCTTCTCAGGGCCCTACCAAGTCCCAGCCTTGTGACATCCCCCCTCTTTCCCGCTCCCTCATCTTTCTGCAGTTTTCAGGGAACCCTACACCGTCCGGGTGGAGGATCAAAGGTCAATGCGTGGAAACGTGGCCGTCTTCAAGTGCCTCATCCCCTCCTCAGTGCAGGAATATGTTAGCGTCGTGTCCTGGGAGAAGGACACGGTCTCCATCATCCCAGGTAAGGCAGGACTGTGGCGCCGCGGCGGGCAGGGGTGCTGCGGGGCGGGCGGGGACTGGGGGAGAGATAAAGCAGAGATGCTGACTTGGTTGTTGAGCTGAGATCTTGAGCTGGTGGTCTTGGTTCTGGTGACTGATTTGTTATTGTTCTAGTGATGCTTCGGCAAAAAAAAAGCATCTTTGGTCTCGGCTGGGCACGTCTCTCCGTGGGGCGGTGGAAACCCACGTGCCAGCGGCCTCTCTCTCTGCTGGGCGTGCGACGGTCCCGTCGGACACAGGGTGCATCCTACTCCCCCAGAGAGCGGGGTCTCCATCCTTCCCGGCCCCTGGACCTTCGCTTGCCCTTGCTTTTTGCAATGGGAGGTGAGGCTGGAGGCTCCTTCACCATGATGGGCTGTGGGGAGAGGACAGCCAGGAGGCTGGCTGTGGTGTGCTTGGAATGATCAAGCGATGAGCACCGGATCCTGAGGGCACCAGACACGGGTAACATGCGTGTGGGACTTTGTTTTCATGACTTAGCCAAAGACCGCATTAGGATTCTAGCTGGCCCGAGCCTGCCTGTGCCTGGTATCCGGAGAAGAGCTCAATGCCACGTCGTGGGTTCACCTTGCTAGAGCCGCCATGATCGCGAGCCCCTCGTTCTTGGTTCCCTTTTCCTATGTGGTGTTGTCCCTTCAACAGGAAATCTGGTCTGGAAACCCCAAGAGAGGACGTCAAGTCCTCAAAACGCCTCCAGGCCTCCGGTTCCAAAAGGGTGGTTTTCCCCCCACCGCTCCCGGCCCCTCTGCCTTCATCCCGGCACGGTGCACACGATCTCCCGCTTTTTCTTCCTTTCCCGGCCGAGCACCTTGGTTTGTCCTTTCTGTGAAATGGGGGAAGCTGACCAGGTGTTGAGCGCCCTTGCAGCTTTGATGTCTCATTGTTGGTCGTATGAAATGATTCCCGTTGCTTGGGTTTTCGGGTTGGTTAGGGAAGGCAGACTTCGATGCATGAAAGCTGTAAAGCCGGGTTTCTAAATCGTGCTGCGCAGTTGAGTCCCGGGGGAGCTCTTTGGAAGACACTGGTGCTTGGGACCGCCCCCAAATCAGTGTCTCGGTGGTAGAGCCTGTGCATCAGTGTTTTTAAAGCTCTTTACCTGGTTCCAGTGCAGTTAGGAGGAGAGCCAATGCTTAGGCATATTTACAGCTGACATGGCGGGATACTCTTCTGGAGACATTAATTTGTGTTTTGCTCCTGGTGCTTTTTCCTTCTCTCAGTTCCAAGCAGATGGCCAGGCCGTTATGTTTCCCGGCTTCAGAGCTTGTAGCAGGACAGGAATCCGAATCTACTTTAAGACAACCGCTCTTCCTGCCTTTTGTGAAACCATAAGCTCATAGGAGAGGTTAGGATGGGTGTTCTGGCTGGGGAAGAGGGCCTCTGAGGACAAGGAACAAACGGGACATAGACGAGTCCGAATCCCAGGGATGGGGATGGGACTGGAGGCCGCTTAGTGGGTGCAGCTGGAGGAAGCAGTTGGGCCCCACAATGGGTGGCTGTGTGTAGCTCCGCGGGGTCTGGGACTGAGTCCAGGGTTCTTGCGTCCAAATGAGGTATGGGGTGCACAGCTCAAGACCCAAAGGGATCATGCAGGCAGGGGCAACCGGCTGGTGAGAGACCGCGGACCTTGGCACATCCCTGGGGGAAGCCCCAGGAATGAAGATCGAATGGCCCATTTATCCCACAGAGTCCGATGGAACGTGATTGACAGAACATAAAGAAAGGTGGTATTTTTTATACACTTGAGTTTATGGACTAAGAGTTACATTCATTAAAGTAATATCAATTAGTAATATTATCAAATAATAATTATTGTTTGAGTGCTACTACCTGCCAGACACTGGCTAAGAAATGTTCCTATGTGACCTCATTTTGTTCTCATAAAAAGTCTGTTAAGTGTATTTTTTCCCTCCACTTTACAGAAGAGGAAGTAGCTTCTTCCGGGTAAGGCATCTATTAAGCAGAGGGCGGGGGCTCGAACTCAGGTCTGTTCCTTCGACCTGTGCACTAACCCCATGCAGAACTGCCTCCCAGCACCCATCCACGTATATCCAATGCAGTGTTACTCTGAGTGCAACGGAGGCTTTAAATGTGTGCTCTAGACAAGGAGGCTTTTGGCCTTAGGAAGGGGAAAAAAAGTCCCTGTTGCGTTTTAGGGAAGGCTTCGTGGAATTGAGTCCCTGGAGTTGGTGACCAGACCCCCTAGGTTGAGACTCATCCCACTGTTTAATGAGCTGCGCAAGTCTTTTGCCCCGCTGTGCCTCAGTTTCCCCAGCTGTAATAAAATGGGCATGATGATTGCCCTACTTTACACGGTTTAAGAAGTCAATATTGTAAAAGGTTCCAAACACTGCCTGGCACACCGAGGACAGCTGTGACCATGATGATGATGATGACCCAGTGGGAAGAGGGCATTCCTGTTCCTGCTGTTTCCCATGGCAGTGTGTCTGTTTCCATGTAACAGGCCCTGTGGCCCCCCCCCCCCCTTTTTGAGTTTCCCAGCGTGGGAAATGGCTGGCTCATCCACACATTCCCTGGCTTCTAACACATCACCTTGTACATGCAGGGCGAGTGCTTGCTAAATGTTCCGTCGGAGCATGTATGGGTGGTTGGAAAAATCGAGAAGGAGTGCGGGAAGAGTGTTGAAATAAGAGCGATCGAAGTGGGTGTGGGGTCGGACGACATGACGACATCCGGTGCAGACGGGAGAGCAGGAAGGTTAACCCGACTCCTAGGCGTAGGAGCTGGAGGCAGTGAGCTTCCCCGCGGCAACCCTTGTAGTTGGGGCTTCGGGGCAATCTTTGATGTCAAGACAGGGCTGGGGGCCCCAAAGGGCATAATTATCAGGGAAGTGGGCTTGGTCCTAATCTGCAGGGCTCTGTTAAACTTCAGTTCTGTAGCACCTCTTTCTTTCCTTTAGCCTTGGAGAATTTTCCTCCCCTGCCCAGCCCTCGGGCACCATCCATAATCATTCTAGATCCTTCTACAGCCACGTTTTAGATCCAGGGACAGACTTTCCAAAGCACACAAATCCAACTAACACGCTCCCAGAGGAATCCATGAGAACCAGCGACTAGAGGTTTGCTTCCTCCAGCCTCTGTAGATGAGAAGCCAGAACTTGGGCCCACACGCCGCATGCTTTAATTTTGGAAAATGCAAATTGTTCATTGTTTTTTTTTTTTTTTCTCATAAAAACAGGATTATCTGCCTTCCATACTCACACTGTACCCAGTGTGTGTGTGTGTGTGTGTGTGTGTGTGTGTGTGTGTGTGTGTGTGTTGTCTGGGAGGTCGGATATCAGCTTCTCATGGTGGGGGAAGGTTTAATGATTAGGTTGCTGTGAGGTTAGGGGAGGACCCAGGAGCTGGTTATCCCTCCTGATGCTTTAGAGTAGGCTTCTGGAGCAGACAGAACAGTGCTGACTTTGATCTCAGATCCTTCACAGACCACAGGGCCAACAGAAGCAGGTGATGGAGAGCAGGAGGAGGAATGGGAAGGCTGAGGTGGGTCGCTCAGGGCCCCAGGGGACATCTTCTTGGGGAGAGCAGCAGCCCTTTGAGGAGGGGGCGCGAGGGGGTGGGTGCAGGCCTCTGCTAATGAAGAGCTTACCCTTCAAGCCCTCTCTCCGAGGGTGTTTGGAAGGAATTAAGGGCTTGGTGCCTAAACACGCTCTGTGAGTTGGGTGTTTGCTCACAGGTTAGCCTTCCCAGCTGTCCAGGGTGGGGAGGGGCAGATAAGCCTCCGGGAGTCGGCCACAGAAACTCTCAGCAGCTTTTTGCCTGTACTTTTCCCAGGTAGAGGCTGGAGAGACCAAGATGGAAACTTTCCCCAAAATGCTACTTCCCAGAACTCCCTACTACACCCCTGCCTTTTCCCTCCAAGCTGGACGTCTCCCTTCCATTGGGGCATTTAAAGATGTAAAAGCACAGAGCCTCTCACCTATGATCTGGCAATTCCTACCCTTTACTCCTGTCTCGGGGGCCTTGGTCTTGAGGAGAACTGGCTCTCCAGTGTGGGTGGGGTGGGGGGTAAGAGGGCAAAGGGCTGTGCACAAACATAAATCAAAATTAAGGCCTCCAGTGAAGCTGAGATGTGGTTTAATTTCCCATCTGCATGATCACCATTACAATGCATGTTATTGGATATAAAGATAAATCCGGCCCTGTTCCTAATAGCTTTTAATTTCCACCAGACCTGATTATATCGATGCGGGCTCCTTGTGGGAGTTTCCCAGCATGCTCTTCACCAGCATGCTGACTGGCTGTTGTGGCCCCAGAGGGGAGTTTTGGACACCGCTCAGATGTGGGCCAGATGTGTCCACCGGTGCTTTGGAAGACAAGCCTGGATCGACTCCCTTGTCTCTGAGGATGGGGCTCTGGAATGCTGGGTTGTCATCAGGCCCTGGCTGGGCTGGGAGCACGCTGGGGGCCCTGTGTGTTGGTGGTGGGGGAGAGATGCAGGGGCCAGGAGGAATCTGGTCAGAGGGGGTCAGGGGCCTCCTAGTGGGCAGGGCTCCTGGACCGCAGCCCACCCTTGACGGAGGAGAGAGTCAGCAAGCCCACCTCCCTGATGGGTCCCCAGGGTTCCACGTTATTCCCGGATTTTCTCAGACCTCTTTTCATCGCTGTGATGTCTGCTGTCTCCTCTGTACCTGTCCCCTCCTCTCCTCATTGATACCCTACTTCTCTTTTGTCCTTTAAACTCGGTCCACATGGGTCCCCTTCCGGGAGGCCTTCCGTAAGCCTGCCGACAGAACTTACGTCGTATTCTCTTAGGTGATGGGTGGTTGTTTCTGTCTCCCTGCTGCAGGAGGGTATAAGGCTGTATCTTTTCCATCTCTTTATCCTCAGGGCCCTCTTAGCACCTGTCAAAGCATAATAGTAATGAGATTAATGATAATATCTATCATGTATTGAGACCTAAATTATCTCTAATCCTTGCAATAACCCTTTAAGAGATAACATT